TCCTTTGGTTCCAATATCTATTTTGTCATTTCTTTTTCTTGTAAATTTCTGTGGCTCTTTGTTTCTAATTTACAGACTTGCATAAATAATTTGACTAAATACACTCAAACTTTCAAAATTTTGTGCACTTCGACTCAAAGTTCCATTAATTGGCTGCTAGATTGAATAAAGTTTCTCGATTCCTAAATTTGAGCTAAATTTTTTTTCCTCTGATACCATGCTCTGGAATTTACATTCCACGTCCTCAACGTACTTGTGTCCCTCCTTACAAATGTGTCCAATGTTGGACTATTATGCAGTCTAACCAACATGTACAAATTTAGCACAATCTTTCCATGTCTCCACGCTTTTGTACGTAAATTCTGACTTTAACTTGTTTGCACATTTTACTTTTCACCTTCAAATCTGCTCAAAGATCTGAATCGGTTTTCTCTAGTGTTCCTGCTCCACCCCCATTTGAGAATTTTAATCTTGATAAATGGATTTTCCTCAATTTAACACAGGTATTATCCGCTGAAGAGCTGTTTTGATTAGATTGGACAAAGCAATCTATTTATATATTTTCAAACTCGACAGGTTAAAATCCTATGCTGTGTTCAGTTTGGAATGGTATGTGCAGCAAGATTGTGAATATGGTTAACAGTAACCGTCTGCCATAATTTTGACACTGTTTGCTCTCGCTTCTCCTTCCCCCACCTTTTTTGTTCTTGATTATTCACCCATTCTCATTTTTAATATCTAGCCTAACTTTGGGATTTGAGGCCATTTTACATGCAACCTACCTAGTACTAGTGAAAGCCCTCTTCTTAAATCCACCTAGTCTCCTCTCAATGAGATGTGGAGCAATGTCTGTAGCACTTGATATGAATAAGTATCACCAACTGTTGTTGACCATTTCAAATTTTTATTACTTATTTCAGCTTGTAACTCATCAGAAAACAGAAGAACATAACTGGGTTAACATCACTCCATCTGGAAACACTCACTTCCGAGCTATTGAGAGTGCCCCTTATGTAAACACTCACGGCAGTTCACCTTCTCCACCTCCACTAGTGAAACCTGAGCCTCTAGCAGTAAAAGAGATTACGTCTCAGTCAACGGATGATTTTTCATGTAGTTCAGAAATCTTTGAACCCTCGAGAGCTCTGGTGGTGCCAGAAAATGGGGAGTCAGTTCACACTGGCAACCAGATGAAGGAAATCATCAAAACTGATTCCCCGTCAAAGAAGAAAGGTAAGGATGTCTGAAGTGACACTGAAGCACTCTGCTGCACATCCTGCAGTTGCAGAACAGAACTGCAGGTTCCGTTTTGCAGTCAATCCTACAATTAGGTCATTTTTGAAGCAATGAAGGGACATGTGCATATGTAAGTGTTGTCTACTTTGTAATTTGTGCGATTGTCTTGAAATCTTAGATTCACTGTCAGACCTGGCCATTGAGCAAATGAGTTACATTGGCCTTGAGCTAGAAACTTTGCAAAACTAGGGATAAGCTAAAGATCTGAATCCTTATCCAGTTTTTTTAGCAATTGGAACTAAAATTCACCAAATCTCAAGTGCATTGTGTAAGGCTTTCTTTTTGTTGAAAGTCTGGATGTAAATTCTCCTCTGCAGTTCGCCTTGTTAGAGGCAGAAGAGTTCTTACCCCCATAAACCCATGCTTAGCAAACTAAAGCTGCCAGACATCTGAAATGTAGACAATGCTATTGGCAACTCACTGAATTTCTGGACTGTTCACTTTGTAGATTGTGTTTAATTAAGAAACTTGTGGCATGCTAAATTTTTGCATATCTTTCAGAGGGGCTTTGGGGATGGATATTGATTTGTAAGTCTGTTCCCTCATGGAAATTTTAAGTGTTTCCCACCTTTTTAAACTTCTCCATATTGAAAAGGTATTGTCTTGACTTTTGCAATTCTTACAGCAAAATGTATCAACCTTTCTATTGCCTCTTTCTGGGCCTAGTTTTCATGCACAGCTTCCTGTACTTTTTTAATTCCCAAATTACAAAATGTTCTTTTGATGTAATGTCTGGTTTACATGGGACTGTAAAATACATGGAGGCAATCACTGATGTTTAGTTTAAACCCAAAATGTTCTAACATGACTGAGACCCCCATGTGCTTTACCTATACTAACTGGTTTCTCTGCAGATGTCCACTTACAAATGGATTAATGGTCCACTGAGGAGGTTTGCTGAAACTGCACAGGATTGAGATTTGGGTGTACTTTTACAGCTTGTGTCTGTAATCTTGGTAATTGTAAAATGGGAGTAACACTGGTGTTGAAGCCGAGATTGATACCTTTTTAGTTTTCGATTACTTTTTCGTTTTGTATTCTCAGGTAAACGCAGTCGTCACCTGGGCACAGATGGTGTTTACCTGGATGATATCACGGAGATGAATCCTGAGATCGCAGCACTTTATTTTCCAAAATGGTAATGTCCATGAAATTGCACGTTTTTTTCTCTCAAAGCTCAGTTGATGACATAATGTAATCTGGAATGTACCTGATGTAACAGTCATCCTGTAATTATTTCTTCCACAGTGAAAATGACACAGCTAGTAGGAATGAGTCTGAAAACGGAGTACATTCGGAAAACCAGTCCCCACAGACTGTAGGCAGCTCTGGAATGGACAGTGGAGTTGACAGTTTCTCTGATAGTACTGGGGATCTACCAACCATTGCTATTTCACTCTGTGGTGGGCTTAATGACTACAAAGAAATAACAAAAGGTAAAAATTCCATGAGTTCTAAATTGTTCAGAAAATGGTAAGCAAGCAAGGTCATCTGTTTAATCCATATCTTGCAAAGGTGCCATGACAACCCATGTATTCATCTAATTGCTACACCAGTAAATTTTTGTTTTTTTAAACTATTAGTCTTAGATAAAATGTGTTAGTGGGTATCTGTGAATCCATGGTTGTGATTTAGGTATGACTTGGACACCAGTATTTAAAGGATCCAAGGCACATCACTACCATTTTAATCTGTTTTATATTTAGTAGCTTAAACATTGAGTATAATTGGGGATTTCTTTTCTATTTTCATTTAGATGCATTGCACTGACCTAATTTATGGAGAACATGTTGTAACCTTTCAGTTCTTAGTGAAAATTGGACAATTACATGAGATGTGTGGAAGTGACTCCATAAGCTTGTTGATATTGGTTTTTTTTTCATGGTCAATAGACTAGAGGAAGCTTCCTTCTGCAGAAAATTCCTATAATTTATGATTCGACTATGCTGAATGTTAGAGTATCAAAAAGGAAAAAAACCCTACTCTAGTTCTCTAGAAGGAACATTGTAGAGATCTGATTTTTCAAAAATCAAGTGTTATGCAAAAAACAATTTTTGTATTGTGATTTTTGACCAGGGATTTGAGCTTACAATTTCATACTTTTCTATTTATCATAAAATTCATTTGTATGAGACCAGATTTAAAACTGTTAAAATATGGCTGTAAAATGAGTGAGGGTGCCTTGGAGGTCATACTTCTGACCACTGCTGTTCTCAGTTTATATCAGTGGCTCCAAACACGTTTGAAGATGCTGCCAAAGTAGCAGTGGGAGGGGAGAAAACACCGGTTTTGGAATAGGCCATTTGGTTAGCCAAATCATTGCACCAAATATGTAAATGACAGAACAATTAGATGAAGTTTATTGTGAACAAACCTGTAGTATGGTTCAGGATGAAATTGAATGAAACCTGGCCATCTTAAGACTAACAACAAAATGCCTAACTACTGCCAAATGAAGCCAATGGAGCAGCGGAAGAGAAATCGTGGAATGGTCCTGAGGAACAATAGGGGAGACTTGATCTTTTTGGATGAATGAATGAAGATGAGATGCGGTTCTGTCACTTTTATTTTCCTTTCTTTTGTAACAAGACTTGATGCAAATATTTCCTCTTTCTGCAGAACAATTTTTACAGCGTTCCGTCACGTATCAACAGTTTGCGGAGAATCCAGGAATGATTGATGATCCCAATCTGGTTGTGAAGATAGGAAGCAAGTAAGTAGGGGATGGCCTAGTGGTACTATTGCTGAAATGTTAATCTAGAGACCAAGGCAGATAGTGGAATTTGAACTCCATAAAATATCTGGAATTAAGAATCTAATGATGAGCATGAATCCCTTGTCTATTGTTGAGAAAAACCCATCTGGTTCACTAATGTCCTTTTGGGGAAGGAAACTGCCATCCTTACCTGGTCTGGCCTACATGTGACTCCAGGCCCACAGCAGTGTGGGCTGACTCTCATCTGCCCTCTGAGCAATAAATGCTGCCGAGCCAGTGAGACCTTCATCCTGTTAATGAATAAAGTGTAATGAAATGCACACTTAGTTTCTCTTTCAATGGAGAAAATGCACCAACTGCTCAATATATTGGCCTAAATCTTCTGGTCAGCGTTAAAATCCCTCTTTCCCCAATGATGTCTAGGCACGCAACTTTTTATCTATTTACTTTGCTCTGAATTTTCTGGCCAATCGTTCGATGGTTGGTCTTCCCAAACCTGGATAGCTCGGGAATCCTGGGAGGCAGCAGCAGAGAACTTGAAAATGTACTGAAGCTTTTCAGTGAGTTTGTGAATGAAGAGAATGAGGCAGGTGGATGAGGGACAAGGTGGCTGGAATGGTGAGGTTGAGGGTACAGTCTGAGCTCACCGTAGGATTGAGGAAGGGGCTGAATCTGGAGGTTGGGATGCTTCAGAGTTGGCCATTGAAAGATTCAGCTTAAAGCCAAGTTAGTGCATCTCAACTGCCGCGAATCTTGGTGGACTGTCCGGTCCCTGATTTAACTGGTCGTTATGGGCTGCTTCCAATCAACTTTGGCCATCTCTTCCCTCATATCTTTGTAGTTCACTTTTATAGTGATAGCCTCCTTTTTTGATCTGACACAATCTTTTAACTTGTCTTATTTGTCACAGTTGCCTAACCTAATTCCTGTCAGGTGTTTATGCCTTTTAAAGCAATGTGTAATTATGAGCCCACTATTAATTCTTCAACTACAAACCGAAAGAACTTTGGATAAAAACAGTTGCTGGAAAAGCTCAGCACGTCTGAAGAAATCGGTTAACATTTTGGGTCCGGTTCTGAGGAACTTTGTTGTGGAAGTTTATCGTCTTATGTTCCGCCATTGAACGCAGATGAATCAACTTGATGTGATTCTATACTTGCTGATATTAATGTAATCTTCTGTTGACAAAACCTAGGTACTATAACTGGCCAACAGCTGCTCCTATGCTTCTAGCTGTGCAAACATTCCAGAAACCATTGCCAAAGGTGAGTTAACATTTATCTGACAGACACCATATTTATCTAAATAAATGTTACAACGCGACATGTAACATCTGGTTCTAGTCTCTTCCATAAGTGGAAGCAACCTCCCAATATCTATCCTATCAAGATCCCTTGGATCTTTTGTATGTTTCAACAAAATCACCTCTCATTCTTCTAAACTTCAATGCTTGTAGACCTAATCTCGTAAACATATTTTAACCAATTCATCCCAGGAATGAGTCACATGAACCTTGTCTGGACTGTTTCTAACAGTATTATTGTTCTAACATATTTCCTGTTTGTTGCACTCTCTTGTGACAGCAGTTGCCTTATGAACTTCCATTGGGCGCATTTAGACCAATGCATTGAGCTGTTTTGTAAACCTGTGCACAAATACATACAAGAGTTGTACTAGCTAACTTGTGATACGTTTTCGAAAGAAAGGCCATGGAGACCCCAGTGAGATCGTCTTGGGGAGAAAATAATTCACTTAGCAAATATTATGAGACAATATTCAGGCTTCAGTATATCGTATTATTTAGAAGCTATATCCAGTATTGATTAGTTAAATTAATTAACTTTTTTTGTATACATGCACATATACAATGTCCGTGTCTGATTTAGAATTGAAATTCCATTTAATGTTAAAGCTGAAATGATTTAAAAGCCTATATTTTATGTATTTCTAAACTTTTTCTCTCTTTCTCTCTCCCTTTTATTCTATTTTCTTTTTTCTGTGGTTATTTTTGAATTTTTGTTTTTAAAAATCATTCAAGTACTCATGCCTCAGTTACCTGCATTCGCTGTTTAATGTTGCTACATTTTGGTTTGCAAAGATTCGTTTTATGCCCACAGTGTGTTTTTATTGTTGCTTCCTTCACTTGCAGAAACGGCATTTTCGTGGTGTTTTGTGCAGCATTTAGGTTCACTTTTCTTTATTGCATTAGTTACTTTTGTACATTTGTGATGTGATAGGTTACGGTGGAAAATCTGATTAAGGAAAAGATGCCGAAGAAAGGAGGCAGATGGTGGTTTTCATGGCGTGGGAGGAACACCAAAGTGAAAGTGGTAGGTTTTCCTTGTGCCTCCTGCAGAGTATATTCCAAACAGTTTATTATTTGGAAGATTTAATGTTAGCATATATGCAGTATACAGTTTTTAATTGTCGTGTATTATGGAACTAAATTTGACTTCACTCCAGTTAACTTGCAAAATATATATGCGTTCATGAGACCAGCCACGGTTGAGAAACCGGCCAACTTGAATTTTTCCTCATCTTCTGATGTTATCATCTTCTGAGATCATCAGAGTCAGATACGTACAGCACAAAGAGTTTTTGGCCCATCTCATCTGTGCTAACCAGATATATCCTACACTAATCTAGCCCCATTTGGCCTGTGTCCCTCAACGCTTCCTATTCGTATACCTCTCCAGATGCCTTTTTAAATGTTGTAATTGTGCCAGCCGCCTCCACTTCTCTGGTAGTTCATTCCATTCAGGCTCTACTCTCTGTGTAACTAAGTTCCCCAGTAGGTCCCTCTTTAAATCTTTCCTCCTTTCACCTATGTCCCCTAGTTTTGGGCTCCCCTGACACATGGAAGGGGCCTTCATCTTCTTAATTTATAGAAGGAGATTTCCACCCTAGTCAAATGTGCCTGTTTGGTCAACCTACTTTGCACTGCAGGGCAGCTGACTGGCACAAAGATGGTGCTGCCCACTTAACCTTACTGCAGCACTGAGTCAAATTCCTGAATGTAGACTCATGGAAATCAGTGAATGTTTCACCTCCTGCAGTAGTGATCATTCAACAACATTTTTTGATATGACTGTGGACATCAGATAATTTGCAGTTGTGCTTCGAATAATCATGTAAAATCTTTCACCTTGGGCTGAAAAGACAGTTGAAGGTGAATGTATTTTATCACTCTGGCGCAATATTGTAAGATCTGAGCGATGGAAGGGGCAGCTACAATCTGGAAGGAGTTGATTCAAATGGGTCAAATCTGTTTCAGGCCCTCAAATGAAAGCGAGATACTGCCGATGACGAAATTTGATATATGGAGTCGATGTTTCAAACCCAATGTGACTTCTTCAGAACTCCGCTTCTGAAGGACAGTCCTACTGAGCTCAACAGTTAACTCTCTTTTTCTGTCTCAGCACATGTGGCCAGGCTTGCTCGGTTTCTCCTGCAATCTGTCTGTCTGCTTCAGGCCCTGTTGCTTGATAATGCTGGCATAGTTAGCAATGTTGGTTTCAAACAATGTAAAGGCCATGTAGCAGTTCAGCTTGTATTCAGACGTATTGAAGCATTTCTGAAGAGCATTTTTTGATATCACTGGAGCCATATTTGCAGACCACCTTGGTATTAGCAACATGCATGCACACCCCACGTTGCTGTCCATCACGTCAGGTAGCAGAGAGCAGCTCTTACAAGGGGACCAAAGGAACGCGAGGGATATTAGTGGGTGTGAGTAATGAGGGACGAAGGGGAGGTTTGAGGCAGGTGTACGTTGAGGTAACAATGATCTAGGGACCATCTGAGGTGTGCAGTTTTGCAGCTCCGTTTTCCACATGTGGTTAGTAATTGCTGCGAGGTACCATTTTCTCCATCTTAAAATTTTCAAGGTGTTGTCATCAGGTGGGTATATGGAGTTGGGCCACAGATCAGCCAGGATCTCCATGGGTGGAACAGACTTGAGGGGCTCAATGGCCTTCCCCTGTTCCTATCAGCATGTAGGATTGAATTTCATTTGGTACGCTCCACTGAGATTCTGCGTATGGTACAGACATTGGTGAACACTGCAGCTGAAAATTCAGGCTTGGGTGGGAATGGCAGTCGAGGTGGCACGGTCAAGGGTATTGTCAGATTGACATTCTCCTCTTGGTCTTGCCCTTGTCATGTGGGGGGTGTATGTTCGCTCCCGCTCCTGCCTCCTGCAAGAAAGAGTGCCAGTCAGAGTCTTTCTTTGTGGTTCGGTGGTGTGGCTTTTCTGGATGAGTAGCTTTCGGTTTGTAACAAAAACCAAGTTACTGGAAAAGCTCAACAGGTCTGGCAGCATCTGTGAAGAGGAAAAAACAGTTAATGTTTCGGGTCTGGTGACCCTTACTCAGAACTTTCGGTTGGTGAGAGCTGTGGGTGCCGAGCTCATGTTTGTCTGTGGTGTGAGAGGGAACTTAGGAATTGAAGAGTTGGTTGCTGATTTTGATGGTGATATTTTTTAGGCAGTGGTAGATGGCGCTCCAGTGAAATTGGAGTAATAATGGGTCTACTGGATCAGTTGACAGGAAAAACCCTCTGAAGATTGATCTTTACTGCTCTTGACTTGTTTCTATCTATCTGATTTTATTGCACTCAACTCATGTTCTTAAAACTATGCTTGTGGTGCTTGATGCTATTCAATCCTCCTAAGCATGTGCCTGGAGAACCACCTGCTGCTCCCTGCTCCTCCAAGCTGAATGGAAAATTTATTTAGTTCCCACTTCACCTTTGCACCAAGATCTTCAATGTAGTTTTTGAAAATGGCGGTACCTGTTTACGCACACATACAACCGTTGCTTGAAATATTGCAGTACGTGGTTTCGATGTTAGTTTTGATTTAACATTGTGTACATGTAAATTAAAATCAGAAGTAAGCCATTTTGCCCGCTGAAACTGCTTCACCTTTCAGTATGCCCATGGCTGAAGGATTTATTGTAATTCCACACTCCCATCTGGCCCAGATAATGTTTTTGGTTTTCTGTTCTAACAAGATACTCTACCTCTACTTAATTCTGACCTCCATTTCCACCACGTTTTGAGGCAGTGTGTTTCAAAGCTGTACAGTTTCTGAGGGAAAAGAACAAATCTCATCCTCTTTTTTTTCAAAAAAAGTGAACCCTAACTTTTTAAAATGCTGCCCTCTAGTGCTCCCTCTCCAAGGAAGCATCCTTTCAAAGTCCACCTTCTTATGGAGACCATTCAGAATCTTTTACATTTTCAATCAGTTACCCCTTACTCTGCTCTTCCAGTGCTAACAAGCCCAGATTGTAGATGCAGGGTCCCTGCAATGTGGGATTATCGATCCAAACAACTTCAACACTCTCTCGATGTTATTCAGGCGGCTTGATATTTCAGATTTGGATTGTGTTCAAGCCTTGTCTCTTCTTCAATGAAACTGCATTGAGTGTCAGTTAATGGGCTTGCATCCATTTCTGCCTTGGAGAAAGCCTGAAACACATTGTGCATCAAAACAAATTAAGGCAATTATTTCTCCTGTTAAATTTACTGGAGATCAATGCTGGCATGAGTCTAGTTCCTGCAAATAGACTGTTTTGGATCAATTTGTTTGGAAAATTTAATGTGCATTGTATAAACTATGGGGGTTGAGCAGATTTTTCACTCATCACCCAAAAAAACTTGATGCTATACAATGCAAATCATTGGACGTTTAGTTCAGTTCAGGATGGATATGACTACAGCTCTAATCGTTTGAAAGGATGCTCTTTAAGAGGTCATTCGCAGAAAGATACAGTCAATCTTCCTCAAGTTGACACAGCAAAGTGACATACCTGGCCTGGAAAATTTATTTTCAGCTTCTCATTTGTTCAGTGTTTGCTCCACGTTTAGCCTTCTAAAATGAAGCCATTGAGAGTTGGCGCTGACTTCTTTGCATTCAAAACAAGCAAATTATCAGCAGGAATTGCCACTTGGCCCCCTCCAAGCTTGCTACGCTGCTTAAATAAAATCAAGACAGATCGCATTTGTTCCCGTTCCCACCTACCCTGCTAACCCCTCTTTCCCCCTTTATTTATGAAGAATTTTAAAAAAAAGTCATAGATACTGTTCCTCTGAGAAAAGAATTCCCCTCATCCACCTTAAATCAATGACTATTTTTACTTTATTTTGAAACAGTTACCCCAGTACTAGATCATCTTGGGTGATAATTCTAACCCTGGTAACATCCAGATGGTGGCAAATCGTGCATTCATACGATCGTTCATGTACTTTCTGGATAAAATCGGAGTAAAAAGGATGAGACTAATGCGATGTAGAGCTGGATGAACACAGCAGGCCAAGCGGCATCAGAGGAGCAGGAAGGCTGACGTTTTGGGCCGAGACCCTTCAGAAATGAGGGAGGGGAAGGGGATTCTGAAATAAATAGGGAGAAGGGGGGAGGCGGATAGAAGATGGATAGAGGAGACAGACAGGTCAAAGAGGCAGGGATGGAGCCAGTAAAGGTGAGTGTAGGTGGGGAGTTAGGGAGGGGATAGGTCAGTCCAGGGAGGATGGACAGGTCAAGGGGGTGGGATGAGGTTAGTAGGTAGGAGATGGGGGTGGGGCTTGAGGTGGGAGGAGGGGATAGGTGGGAGGAAGGACAGGTTAGGGAGGCGGGGACAAGCTGGACTGGTTTTGGGATGCGGTAGGGGGAGGGGAGATTTTGAAGCTTGTGAAGTCCACATTGATACTATTGGGCTGCAGGGTTCCCAAGCGGAATATGAGTTGCTGTTCCTGCAATCTTCGGGTGGCATCGTTGTGGCACTGCAGGAGGCCCAGGATGGACAT